TATTCAAAATCACCTGAACAAGGTCCAATCTTGATTCTTCCAAAATACACAATGAGGTGGAAATTTCAAGGCAATAAAAGATAGAGACTTGTAAAAAAAAGTTTTCCTGTAAAAAATGCTGCTGTATCATCTGTCCTAAATAGTATCAATTAATGTTCAGATTTAATTACACTAGTTTAAGCCTTCTCTTGTGAGATTTTTCTTTTTAATTTTTTCAGTGTTGGAGGAGTTTCACATCCTCTACTTTTTGGCAGGGAGGGGGAGAAGGCAGAGACACTGTTTCGAAGGCAGAGGTGCTGTGCTCCTGCTGGTAATACTGGCTCCCTCGCCATCCACAAAATCATGGGCCATGCTAACAGCCTGTCATGATTTTGTATCAGCTGAGGTGGGTTCAATGAGCAGTTACTTTACAAGAAACCTTGAATAATTTATAATAGTACCATTTTCGGAAAAAGATTTCCCACAGGACTCTGCAATCACTATGTTTTATTTGTTGGTTTGGCTTTCTGTGAATGGCACACAGATCTTAGTGCAATTTAAGTATAATAGCACAACTGGCAAACCTTATAAGGTTACTCTATTTCACTGTTTTTCAAGTTTTTTCCTTACCATAAAATCTATACTTGCTCTTTAAAAAAGGTAAAGAGATTTTTAAAAAATTAAGTCATTTATAATCCCACCTCCTCCTTCCAAAGAAATTAAGTTTGTGTATTTCCTTATACTCTTTTCCTGAACCAAGAAAATCTCATCTTTTATATGAAATGAAACCTTCCTCCACTTTATTGTGGCCAAGGAAAACATCTCTGCCCCCTCCATGTGAGTTGACCAAAGCTTCCTTCATTTTGGGTTTGAGAAGTTGATTTTTTAAAAACTGAAGGCCTTAAAGCTATCCCTATAACATGTAAGTTGTTTCAAAGTTTCACTGTATAGTGAAATATGCCAAATTAAATTTTTTTTAGTGAAAACCAGGGCTAGTGGGGGCCAGTTATGTTGGTTGGTAGGTTGTATCAGCAAAAATGTCAATTTCCTAGTTCCTTAGTTCAGCACTCAAATCCTTCCTATTGTCTTCTCAATATTACATCTCCAAACAGAAATTTCTCCTCTGAAACAGTAATTTACTTCATTTTGGTGAGTTTTAAGCGGAGGGGTTCTTAACATTATATCCATAAATGATCTTTGTACTATAAGGATTAGCTCAAAGCCTGATGCATAAATCCTAAATGATGTGCTAAACAGATGAAAAAGTATTACAATTTACTTAATGAATTGACATACTATACTTCACTAGGGGAACTTATATATATAACAAGCCTTTAGACTGTACATAATTAAGTGTAAGTTAAACTGATTATATACATTTAAAAATTTTAACCAAAGCAAAGGGTGTCAGCAATGACAGTTCCCATTCCAAGCACAATGCATCTGACAGCTTGTATGCCAAAGGTATAAAAACAACAAAACTAGAGAATAAAAAGACACAATTCAGAAAGACTATATATACTGGGGGTAGGGTGCTATGGAGAAGAATCGAACACAAGTTGAAGAAAATATTCTGATGCTCTCATTTTTGGTACAAATTCTAGTTTCCTTTGTAGAGTAATGAATATGGTTTTCACTGAGCGGGAGCATGGAGAAGGCGAAATCAGAAATTTGGCTTGCTCACGGAGTCTACACTTTCTTTCTCTCTCTCTCTCTCTCTCTCTCTCTCACACACACACACACACACACACACACACAAAGTTGATACTATAAATTTCCCAAAGGGAAGCAAGGTCAGGTCACACACACACACACACACACACACACACACACACAAAGTTGATACTATAAATTTCCCAAAGGGAAGCAAGGTCAGGTCTCAGCATCCTAACGGAGTCAAGATCTGTAAAGCCCTTAGACCAGAAGACAAACGAAAGAAAAAGCAACTAATAACCAAACGCACATCTTAAATTTTTCCTAGCGTTGGCGCTTAACACAGGGAGGCAGGCACAGAGTACGATCCTTAAGCTGCAGAGCGTAAAACTCCAGCAAGGGCCGGCAGAGTTCTTCCTACAGCTTTCACCAGAATTGCTGAAAGCGAGTAAAACTAGAGTACTGAGAACGGGGGAAGAGCATTTTTAAATAAGGCGCCAAAAACGCACTAGACAGGAACGGAATGAACTCCAAGTTCGAAAGAACGCGTACTTCTCCCGCCTTTCGGACACTGACCTGGGACCCACCGTGGCGTCCGCTCCGACTTCCTTGCAAGTAACGCGCTGAGGCCACGGTAGAAGCCTAAGAAGACGGCCTCTCTGCCCCACCTCCGACGAGGTACCCAAGAGCTCAGGGTAGCCATGCCCGCCCCCGCCATCTTCCCAGAGGCCCTCGAGTACCGTGCTGACCCACAGAGTAGCTCCGAGCGCACAGTAACCAGAACTGCGCATGCGCCGCCGGCCGGAAGCCGGGACTTGCTAAAGACTTTCAACTGAGGGCGCACATGCGCGGAGAGTCGTCGCTCTGGCGAGCCTCTCGCAATTGGACGGTTGGTTCCTCAGGGAGTTTTTGCCTGTGATGGCTTGGAATGTTTTGAGCAGCCTCAGTGGGTGATTTTCTCAATTGGTTGTTAGCTGGCTGTTAGGTAGAGGCGCGGAGAGGATCCGTAGCCAACGTTCCTAGATAGGAAACCATCTCATCGTCCCGAGGACACTAGGGAGCGGAAGCTTAAGATGCTAGGCTGCTTGCATTACAAATCGCCTTCCCACCCCGACAGTTTTAAGACAGTTTTAAACCGTACCGGAAATGCTTCCAAAATCTGACCTTAATCCTGCTTGTGTAAATACCCGAGGTGGACTCGTTCGCCGCTCCTTCGCCGCTTTCCGATTCGTTTTTACTCTATCTAGCTCTCTATATGCCTGACAATTGAATTATTTAGTTATTCTGTCCCCTGCCTCATGTTACGTGCAAAAATAAATCTCAGGAGATATATGCTTTCAACGGAAGATTAAAACAAAGGATTTAAATACACTTTAGGGCAGTATTTTGTAGTTTGGGGATAGAAGGGACTTTCATAAGCAAGAGATGAAACCCCGGAATAAATAAAAATGTTTGCATGTGAACTTCAACTTTTTTCACGGTAAAAGGCATCTTGAGTCAAATGAGAGTCTAGAAAAACTGATTTTACGGCACAGATAACAGAACATTAATACTTCTATTCAGCCTGCTCCTAGTAATAAGGAAAAAAAAAAAAACCCTATAATTCAATGGAATTAGCCAACGGCTGTGAGTAGGCGCTTCATCTATAAAGATGTTCAACTTCACTAATTGAAAAATGTGAATAAAAAAATAACATGTTATTTTTCTCACCTGTCAGATTGGGAAAAATTAACAGAGCAACTATGGGCAAGGATGATGGAAAACTGGCACTCCTGTATGGTTGGTAGCAGGGTTAATTGCTAAACTCTTCTGTCAAGTAATCTGTGCACAATTTAAAATGTGCATCATTTTCAGCGCCCTTGATCTAGTGGCTCCAGTCTGTGACTCTTCTGTAAAGAACAGTATTAGTTCCTAAGGATGCATATAATCTGCTACAGCACCATATATATATATATATATATATATATATATATATATATACACACACACACACACACACACCATAAATATATACACCATATATATTTTACATTTTATTTTTCAGAGAGAGAGAGAGAGAGAGAGAGAGAACAAGTGGGGGAGGGGCAGAGAGAGGGAGACACAGAATCCGAAGCAGGCTCCAGGCTCCGAGCTGTCAGCACAGAGCCTGATGTGGGGCTCGAACCCATGAACTGTGAGATCAAGACCTGAGCCGAAGTCTGTTGCTTAACTGACTGAGCCACCCAGGCACCCCTGTTTATTTTATTTATTTATTTACTTAAGTAGGCTCTGCTCAGCTTGGAGCCCAACACAGGGCTTGAACTCAAAACCCTGAGATCAAGAGTGAGTGGCTTAACGACTGAGCCACCCAGGCACCCCTACAGCACTATTCTTATAAGCAAGCAGAAGGAAAAAAAAATGAATTCTGGGGGCCCCAGGCATCAGCAAGTAAGATCTAATCTAGTTTTTTTCTACTTAAGGTTAAGGTGGCTGGTATAAAATACTTAAGTAAAGCCACTTTACTATGTTAGTCATACATTTTGGAGCAATGATTGGTGCTAGAGTTAAAGGCAAATGTTGGATACAGTGAATCCAGCCTATCTTTGGAGTCTTGAGAACCTGTCTTATTGGAACATTGGAAAAAGTTGGATAAATAAAAACGAAATAGATCTTTCTTGAGTGGTGTAGTGCCAGAAACAGATAGCAAGGACGGCTGCTCGATTTCAGGATGCACTCCAAAAGTTGTTGAGCTATTTTGCCATTTCTCCATTAGGCCTGTTGTAGATTCCAAAGAAACTAAATCACTAAGGTGATAGACAATGCGTGTCACTTCGTTGTCCTTTAAATCTTAACAATAAACATTTCTCACTATGGGTTTTGGATAATTGCAAATATTCTCAATCATTCCTGTCCCTATTCTCTCCTTTTATTTTTGTAGATCTTGCATTTTATGTACAGCAAAATGAAAACAATCTGACTTGTCTCCATAGTGGGAAAAACACTGCTCAAAAGAGTAGGGAAACCCATAGATTGTTTTCTCTATCCGCCCTTATCAGTATAACAAATCATGAAAAACTGTGGCTAGTGTCAAGTGAAGATGCTTTTACCTACAGTGATGGGCTTGAAGTAGACCAATTATTTCCGTACCCACTGTCAATGCTGCCTTCATTATCAGGAGTGTAAGGATATATTGTTCGGGGCCATTTCTCTCTTTGAAATCTGCTGCCTTAGTCCAGGGAGACAAGTGAGGTTGCCTTCAAGTAAAATCCTTTACTTCCCACCTGCATGAGTTTTTTTTTCCCCTGTCAGATAAGTAAACACAGCCCTTGCAATCCCCAGTAATAATTGCATCTTTGCAAAAAGACGGTCAGATGTCACATTTGTCAGGAGTCATCTCATTTCAGTTTTATAAAACTACAAATCATAATGTTAGCACACAAAATCTCCACCTTTATGGAGATTGACAATTGACTTTTGCTGATTAATCCATCTCCTCTTATGTCACCAATAGGTAACCTCCTGACGAGAGATGAGTTTATTTTCAGCTGTGAAATCTGGTCAACATTTTAATCCATACTCAACATATTTTAACACACATTTTAAAAGGTTTACTACATCATGCATAATATAACGTTGATTAGAATATCTTCATAATCCTATAGAGAAAGTACAGTACAGTACAGAAAAGTTATATCTTACATTAACCAACAAAATTTTAGCAACTGCATTTCACTCTCTTAGATCATTACAAGGGTTTAGGGCTGATGTCTGAAAAAAACAGATTATAAAACTGTCTTCTGCAATAGTGACCTTGTCCTCCACTGTTCAAATAAAATCATGAGTCATCCAGTTGCAAAATCTTATTATTGGCAACGTGTATACATGTGTGCAAACCAGAATGCAAATTTTTAAACATTGTACCCAGTCAGGCCAGATCAAGATGTTAGGGACACTTCCAATCTAGTCATTTCACCTTGTACTAGTAAGCAAAGCCATTAATTATTCTCTACTTATATTCATTTGCAAACTTCTAGGAAAGAATACGTTCATACTTACAAATACACACAACATGACAGACCCAGGATAAGTGGCATTTGAAAAACTGTTATAAAAGAGACTTGCCTGAAGTCATTTCATTCAAGAAAAATTAACTTAACTCTAAAAAAACTAAAGCTAATTGTAAAGAAATACATAATGAAATAGTACATTACAGAGAACATTAAGTTGGAGTTCATTTTCCTTGTTCTATAACATTACTTCTGTAAGTAAGTATTTTCACTGGTCTGTTCTTTGGTGAAAATAGGGCTCTGGTTTCATCGTTATGTCACGTGAGGTTGCAAAAAGAGGTGTGTTCCACGATAAAGAGCAAACAGACAACCTAAGGAAATCGGCTACTGGCTACCTTTATTCTCAGCACCGGGAATGGAGAAATCTTTAGCAAAACATGAAATAGTCTCTTTATTTTTAATCGCTCCAAGTGACAGAATGCCTGTCTAATAAGACTGCTTCTGTGTAAAACACACAACCTTTTGTTTTTTCTTCTTTTACAACAAGTGATTTGCTATATATGTACAGTCGCTTATGCCAGGGGTAACTCTCCAGAGTCAACTTCCTGGGCAACTGATGGCATCAAGGTACCATTTTAAAATGTAGAGTAACACCAAATACAGTTCATCACTTGAAACTACCACTATTAAACAGAAGTCATGTCAAGTCTTTGGTTTAGGTGCAGTACTTAATAATTAGGGCAAAACTCCTAAAACTCTCCCCCAACCCCTTATTTGCTTCTACTTACAAAATAACCTTCAGCAAAATGGTTTTTAAAACGTCAGTTGATTAACGAATAATGTCAATGCCAATAATTTGGGTGCTAAAATAATTTCATATTTCCAAGTACATACATTTTTGTAAACTGCTCAGTTTATTTCACCAAAGTAAACAATTGATAAAAAACAGTTTATAAGAAGTGTTCCTATAAGTGATGCTATTTACCAAAATAGTGTTTTCTTTCTCACAGGTGCTTCAATCCTTTCGCTACTTTTCGTCAAGCTTTGAATTCAACCCCCCTTCTTCTCTTTTACAAATGACTTCCTGTTAATGTAAAAAGGAGTTCTGAGTATACACAGTTAAAGGGATGGGCCTGTGGGTCCCGGTCTCTTCATCCCGGACTGAATATGGCTTCATTCTTGTAAGAGACTATTGCAGTCTGCCCGGAAGTACACTGTTGGCGCCAGTTTGCTACAACAAGAAGTGGGTGTAACCTTCTGCGCCAGTAACTATAACATCCATCCAGATCCGCATGGCTTCCGGCGATGGCGCGACCATATAGTAGATTCTGTCATGCGTCTTGACACTGAAGGTGAGTAATGGGTTAGGACTCTAAAAATCAAAAAAGTTAAAGAATGTAAAACAAACATCCTGAAATCGTAACATTAAATAACACAGACATCTATGGGAGCTTTTTCCTCTTCAAAAGTTTTCCAGTTTGTGGAAATCTCAATTGGTATTACTTTTGCTCTCGTAGAACCTGTACCCCCACCTCCAGCATTTTTCTCAGGACTATCTTTCTGGCCTCACTGCACAATAACTCTCACACAGAGAGCTCACCAATCAATCCTCTTAGCAGCTACTTTGTAGATAAAGCTCCAGCCCAGTGCCTAGATAATGTATGCAATAAATAACCGCTGCTATTCTTTTTTTTTCAACGTTTTATTTTATTTTTGGGACAGAGAGAGACAGCATGAACGGGCGAGGGGCAGAGAGAGAGGGAGACACAGAATCGGAAACAGGCTCCAGGCTCTGAGCCATCAGCCCAGAGCCCGACGCGGGGCTCGAACTCACAGACCGCGAGATCGTGACCTGGCTGAAGTCGGACGCTTAACCGACTGCGCCACCCAGGCGCCCCTAACCGCTGCTATTCTTAGTCCTACTAAGATCCTTCCTTATAACTAGGTAGTAGACCCTTCTTAGAACCTCAGCAAGTCACTTAGCAGGTCTCCTGAATCAATATGTCCAGAATATTTTCTCATTTCACCATGATTTTTTCTTCCACCAAAGATCAGCGATGCTAATTACTCTATGTTCGCTTTTCTAGAGTGATTCTGCTCATATCAGTCTGTTATGTCAGAGCAACACATCTAAATTGCTTGCAGTTCAAAAACCATTTTTCCAACCCAATTATTCATTCACATCTGAAAATAAGTGTTTACCTTATTAGCATTCTTGAGGTGATCATAATACACTTCTTCAATGGCTTGGAAGTATATTACTCCTTTTAATTTAGCTTCATGCTTGTCTGCAATAATAGTTAAATACCTTATCACCAACGATAGACTGGGAAGATTATAATTTCAGTATAATTATTACAATATTTATCTAGTATTTAAGTTACCTGAGGTCAATTCAGATAATTTAGGTGAAGGCATTAGCCCAGTTCTATTTTGAAAAAAACAAACAAAAAGGGAACCATCAGCCCAAACCTCGGGGACTAATTGATTTTGCCCAAAGCTCTCTAGCAAATCTGCAGTCAAAAAGACAACCCAGAACTACTGACAGTCAAGTTAGCACACAAAATATAAACACTGCTGACACCGATACTGATTATCTCCCCACATTCTCCAAAACTGTGGTTGTAATGGAAATGTTAATATGTAGAGCTGTCGTAATGAGATTTGTAAGAAGGTTTTTTTTTTTTTTTTAATTTTTTTTTTCAACGTTTATTTATTTTTGGGACAGAGAGAGACAGAGCATGAACGGGAGAGGGGCAGAGAGAGAGGGAGACACAGAATCGGAAACAGGCTCCAGGCTCTGAGCCATCAGCCCAGAGCCCGACGCGGGGCTCGAACTCACGGAGCGCGAGATCGTGACCTGGCTGAAGTCGGACGCTTAACCGACTGCGCCACCCAGGCGCCCCGGTTTTTGTTTTTTTAAGAAGGGTGTTTTTTTTTTTTTTACCTAACTTAAAATAATATTCTACTTATATTTCTATGAATTTCTTGTTCAGCATGCTTTTTCCCCGTTCCCAGTAGAGCTTCATGTCAATAATTTAGTGATCTTTCAATGCAGCATGTTTCAAACTGTTTCCAAGATTTCATCAAATTCGCCATAAAAACCCAACAAAAACGTAAAACAAAAACAAAAGCAACCAAATCACAAACCAAACAGCATCACTCTACGATCTAATAAGTTCTTGAAATATTTTGTAATTTAAACACAGAGAAGATCACAAATGCGTGTGAGCATATTAAAAAGTGTTCAAAGCGTGGATGAGGCTGCAAAAAGAGAGAGCCTGTTGGTGGAAGTGCAAATAAGAAAGCTCCTTTTGGAAGGCGGTTTGGGAAAAGACACCAATTAAAAATGCAAAAAATCCTCTTACTCAGCAAGTCCACTTCTAAAACTTTATTGTATAAGAGCTACTCATGCACATGCACACCGATTTGTGTTTGTTACAGCAGAAGACAGCAAAAAATCTGTCTGAACTCTAACAGGGGACTGATCCAATTATGGTCGGGTCACATAATGGAATCCACACAGCCACTGGAAAGACTGAGCTGGGTCGGAAAGTGCTCGTCAGAGAAAATCCTGAAATGCTGTTATGCGACAAAAGTTATGAACAGAGTGAAGAATTTGGTCTCAACTGTGTATTTTTTTTTCAACATTTTTATTTATTTTTGGGACAGAGAGAGACAGAGCATGAACGGGGGAGGGGCAGAGAGAGGGAGACACAGAATCGGAAACAGGCTCCAGGCTCTGAGCCATAAGCCCAGAGCCTGACGCGGGGCTCGAACTCACGGACCGTGAGATCGTGACCTGGCTGAAGTCGGACGCTTAACCGACTGCGCCACCCAGGCGCCCCTCAACTGTGTATTTTTGAAGTTCATTTATTTATTTTGAGAGACAGAAACAAAGAGGGAGAGAGAGAGGATCCCAGGCAGGCCCCACGCTGTCAGCACAGAGCACGATGTGGGGCTCGAACCCACAAACCGTGAGATCATAACCTGAGCCGAAATCAAGAGTCAGATGCTTAACTGAGCCACCCAGGAGCCCCTGGTCTTAACTGTATTAAAGTAGAAAGAATACATATATATGTATATGTATATATACACGCATCTATATACATCTATCTGAAACATATACATATATATATAAACATGTATCTGAAAAAATGTATATATAAATGAATAAAGAAAATCTGAAAAGATATTTCAGACTTAACACTAGGAAAAGTTCAGAACTTTTGTGATGTGAAAGAGACTTATTTTCATTGTATAGACCTTTTTAAAATTTATTTGTTTTTATTTTGAGAGAAAGAGAGAGAGAGAGAGAGAGAGAACCAGTGGGGGAGGGGCAAAGAGAGAGGGAGTCAGAATCCCAAGCAGGCTCCGTGTGGTGTCGTCAGTGGGGAGTCCCATGTGGGGTGGGATCATGACCGGAGCCGGAGCCAAAATCAAGAGTCAGATGTTTAACTGACTGAGCCACCCAGGTGCCCCCTACACTTTTGTTCTACTGTTAAGTTTTTTACCCAAGAATGTCCCTTTTTTCCAACAACAATGGAAAGCTAGTCTGAAAAACAATAGCCCTGAGAGGTTCAGTGGAAAATATAAAGCTATTAAATTACACTTAACTCATCATTTCCCAAACTTATTTGACCATGTTTGACCATGGACCATATTTGTATGTGTTCTGGTTTTTTGTTTGTTTGTTTTACTCTTCCTTGGGAAGCACCGTTTTAATTAATGCCACGTTCAGTGGGTTTCAATCAGTTCACTGGGAAGGATACTGCAGTATTAATGGGAATACAATAATACTTTACTTTCTGAAAGCAGGTGTAAAATAAAATCTGGAGCTAAAAGTAAATGTCATCAGTGTTTCAAGGAGGCAGAACACTGGGAATGAACCTTTTGTTTGTAGGGCAGTTCATATCTGAGAAAGAACTCTCAAAAATGTTGGCCTCACAAGGGCATTGTGAACTAAGAGAATTAATAATGCTATTGTAATTTGACACGATAAAGCTATTCATTCCTTTTGGTAGCATTAGCCCATCAATTTTCAGATATATTTTCTGTCTCAGTTTTCTTTAGAGACTCTTCTAAGGTTTCCCAGTTAATATGTAGGAGGCCAAGCATGGAGGCACAGAGACTCTGTGATGAGCACAGAGACTTACGACATTAGCTATCAGCACTCATGTTTACAGCTCCTTCATACGCACGGTGCCCTTTACCTCACGACAAGCTGAAGGGGCGGGTGTGGTGCCTGTGGGGTCAAGTCCAGCCTGAACTGCAATCTGCATGGCTTCCTGTGGACTGATCTATTCCTGCACTTGGTGATGTTTGGGGAAAGAGCAGGAGTGGAGGCCAGGGGAGCGGACAAGTACTGATGGCTGTAAACAGAGCCAAATGGACAGTGTCTGTCAAACTAGGATGCAGTGGTCAGTTATATAATATGGGAATATTAAAAAGCTAAATGAAACATAATTTTTGCCTGTTTTATATGTTACAGTTCTGAGTAATCATTCATATATCAAAAAGAGATATTTTTTATTATATATTACATAAAACATGTAGATATATACATATTTTTGTTGTATATTATAAAAACTATAAAATATTTTAATAAAAATATTTTAAAAATAATATATATATATATTTTTTTCAACGTTTATTTATTTTTGGGACAGGGAGAGACAGAGCATGAATGGGGGAGGGTCAGAGAGAGAGGGAGACAGAGAATCGGAAACAGGCTCCAGGCTCTGAGCCATCAGCCCAGAGCCTGACGCGGGGCTCGAACTCACGGACCGCAAGATCGTGACCTGGCTGAAGTCGGACGCTTAACCGACTGCGCCACCCAGGCGCCCCAAAATAATATATTTTTTAAAGAGAAAACTGATCACCAAGAAGTTTACATTTGGAAAAATGCGTTTACGTGGTCATTAGGAGCACAGGTTCTGACATGGGTCAGAAGGAGGAGGCAGTGAGCAGCTGACCTGGCTGACAGAGGAAAGAACGAAATAAGGGTCTCGGAAAAGAGAAGCAGAGAAGAAGAGTGAAGCTGTTTTGTCTGAAGTTAATTAACATGTTATCTTTGGAAAATTCTGGGTGAGGTTGTCTTTGGAGACTAGCACAGGGCAAAGTTTTGTTTATGGATTTTGCAGACATAAGTTGGCATTTCTCATTAAACTGTCATCTTTTCTATTGTACTAACTGAAGAGAACGTCTCTGGATTTTCTTAGAACCCAAGATTAGAAGGCCCAAGAGAGGCAAGCAGGGAACCGGAAGGGGGTTTAGGCCATTCGCTTGGGGCCACTACAGCATTAACTGCATACTGGAGCCCCACCAAAGAGCTCCTAACTGAACGGCATGCACTCCTGGGTCCTCCTCACCCCAACTCTGGGGCCCCCCAGCCAGGGTCTCCTTGTTTTCCACATGCCTCTCGGTGCCTCATACTTCTCTTCATAAACATATCCTGACCTCACACTATGTAGATTAAGTGACTAGACTGTTATTTCTTATTACATTGATTTAACAATTGATTATTTATTTGACATTGCTCATAAACGCTGATACAGTCACCACAGGGTCTCTTCATAAACTCTTGCATGATATTACTTTTCTTTAGTTGCTTAAGAGAGCAGAGCTAAATCTGTGCTAACAATGGACGTGTTTCGTATGTGACCCAGGAGTAAGAAACTTTTTTCTTTTTCTTTTCTTTTCTTTTTTTTTTTTTTTGAGAGGGGGGGGGGGTGGGGGGGGGAAGAGAGAGCCTAAGCAGGCTCCACGTTCAATGCAGAACAGGGCTCCAGCTCACGACCTTGAGATCACGACCTGAGCTGAAATCAAGAGTTGGACACTTAACGGACTGAGCCATCCAGGTGCCCCAAGACTTTTTAGTAAGTACAGCAGTTACATAAATATTCCTGTATTTTTTTGAAGACTCAGGTGGGTATGTTTCTCACAATCCATCATTTAAGCAATCCAAAAATATTTCAGTCAGTTAATAAATACTTGTTCACTTGTTCACTGATGAGCTTTACTCTTGGCTTAAATAACATCCTAATTTACAAACTGTAGCTGGATGTCTGTCAGCTAAGGCTGCCTAATTGTGTGTGACTTAAATAGGTCATATGACCATAAATAAATAAACAGAAACCTTTTTTCTGACTTTGTGGTATAAAAGTCAATATTTTGGTCTAAAAGGATAAATTCCATTTAATATTTGTTCAGACTTCAGGTTATTTCAGAACCCGAACAGACTAATTCACACTTTTAAAATAATAGATAATTTTTATTATTTCTTTAAAAATTAAAAAAAAATTTTTTTGAACGTTTATTCATTTTTGAGAGACAGAGAGAGACAGAGCATGAGTGGGGAAGGGGCAGAGAGAGGGAGACACAGAATCTGAAACAGGCTCCAGGCTCTGAGCTGTCAGCACAGAACCCGACGCGGGGCTCGAACTCACAAACTGTGAGATCCTGACCTGAGCCAAAGTCAGATGCTCAACTGACTGAGCCACCCAGGTGCCCCTAAAAATTTTTTTAATGTTTATTTATTTATTTATTAAAAAAATTTTTTTTTCAACGTTTATTTATTTTTGGGACAGAGAGAGACAGAGCATGAACAGGGGAGGGGCAGAGAGAGAGGGAGACACAGAATCGGAAACAGGCTCCAGGCTCTGAGCCATCAGCCCAGAGTCCGACGCGGGGCTCGAACTCACGGAGCGCGAGATCGTGACCTGGCTGAAGTCGGATGCTTAACCGACTGCGCCACCCAGGCGCCCCTGTTTATTTATTTTTGAGAGAGAGAGAGAGAGAGAGGCAGAGAGAGAGAATCCAAAGCAGGCTCCAGGCTCTGAGCTATCAGCACGGAGCCCACCGCAGGGCTTGAACCCTTGAACCTTGAAATCATGACCCACGCCAAAGTCGGACGGATGCCCAACTGACTAAGCCACTCAGGTGCCCCCAATATTTATTTCTAGAGAGGAAATCATACATATCATGGGGACTATACAACCCTAATATAAAGTAATATAGACCTACAAATCTAATATTGCCCTTAATTCTATTAGTTACCAATCAACCTATTTATACTGACTTTTATTACCTTTGCTCTTTAACAGAGAGTTCCTGATTTGAATATATCACTTAAGAGTTTTTTATCACTCACCTGCATAATAAGAGAATGTGCGCTTGTTCCGATCAAACACAAACCATCGTTTTTTCCAAGTTTTAATTTTTCCACCCATTTTGATAAGGAATCCTCGGCAGGTCTTCTCTGTGATCGATACATGATAACAGGTATCGATATTGTGGCCGGCAGTCTCTACGTGGCTTCGCAAATCAAAGTCTTCCTTCCGGACGGGCAGATAGCGTGTCAAAGGTCGGGCCTGGAAAAGCACAACCCCGTGTCATATATAGCTAAGTACTTATTTCGTTTAAGGTCACAGTTATTTGAGTGGACATGAACTGGAAAGCCTAAGCATTCAAGTGTTCATGTGATTATGAGAACTGAAGATAAACATTATTCTTTGGAGTTTAAAAAATGCATAGCGTTTTCAGAAGGATGCTACAATATGCGGGGGAGGGGGAGGGATAAACTCAGGTGGACAGGTTCTACTCCTTGAGAAGGGCAGATGAGAAAATGGAAAAACGTCATTAACCTTAGTTTTACAAGAGGCATATCGCACTTCAAAACACAGGGAAATGAGGCACGAAGTTCCCTGGGCCTCTCCCTATCACCACCTAACATTAGTTCTTAAATAATCTCAGACATGACATGACTGGTGAACAGTATTTAGTAAGTACACCCCCCGCCCCCGGCCCTGCGAGATCCCCTAAAGCTATACATGTTGGCTGATACACACCCTCTGGTAGAAATTGAAGGCAGAGATGTATGTTTTGAGAAGTGAAGCTAAAATAAGGTGAGATGTGGAATCAAAGCCGTACTCAATGAGCTATCCAATGAGCAGATATGGAAAAGATGTATGTGGATGTCTTTTATTTTACTATGGCTGGAGTAGAGAAGTTCGTCTAATCTAGGAAGCACGTATCACCATGGGTCACATTTCCAAAATGGTGTTTGACTTTATTCTGTTAATAACCCCATCCTTCTGCCCTGGGGAAAATGACCTACATATATACTTGGAGGAAAACCTTATAATTAGGATTCAAATAGAGAATTGTACTTTTTTGGATTGGCTTCGAATACCAAATAGCCAGGGATGACCTTCACCGCGAATCATAATTTGGCAAAGGATCGGCATAATGAAATAAAATGAACAAGTTTTACTTTGAATTTTTCCTGCAATATTTTGCCTTTGAGTCTGTGGTACTTTGACTTTAGACAGATGCCAGAGACTTACTGATACCTCACAAACACACAGAGTCTCCAAGATGGGTCTCTCACTGCCATGCTACCAAACTGCCAGCAACTATGAAGAATAAGAGGAACGGTACTTTTTATGAAGTCTAGTAAAACTTGGTAAAATGGGTTTGAACTTGAAATAATTGGCACTTCACAAGATTTTATTTTAGTTCCTCAGCCGACCTACATTATATAAGCAGCTTTTTAGTTGCAAAGATTCAAACTCTATGATAAGCAGGATAGGAAGTGAAAGGAAATGGGTGATTTTCCTGAGTTTTGCTGGAGTTCAGTAACCTTGCACACATGTGTGGACGGCTGTAGCAAAGGGGATATGTGTGACAATACAGTGGTTAGGAAAAAAAACTACCAAGAAATTGGGTTGGTAAAATTATTTTGTTCTGGAGTATTTGCTTCCAAAAATGGCTTCATAGAAGCTTTTCTCTTCCTCAACCAAAGGTTTTAGTTTGGGTGTTGTATTTGTTTTCAGTATCTGGCAGCATTTTTCAAAGCTGCTTGGAAAAACATGGTCCTTTTAAATATACTCCCAAAAATGGGCAGAAGAAAAACTGCCTCTCCCTCCAAATTGTTCTATGCGTGACCAAAGTATCATTTGAGCAGTAGGTCTCAATGAGTTTTTTTTAAATGTTTACTTATTTTTGAGAGACACCACGCATGAGAGAGAAAGGGGGGAGGGAGGGGAAGAGAGAGAGGGAGACAGAGGGTCCAAACAAAGCAGGCTCTGAGAGCCCAATGTGGGGCTCAAACTCTCAAACCATGAGATCATGACCTGAGCCGAAATGGGACGCTTAACCAACTGCACCACCCAGGTGCCTCTCAATGAGTTTTGAGATAAGCATATATTTTGTTTGTTTGTTTCTGTCCCCGCAGTTACACGTCAAGAAGGGCTGCTGAGCACAGTGCCAAGAAAGCCATCCTGACACAGCATGACTGTCTTCTAAACAATGACCAGCAGGGGGCAACCTATTCTAATCCATCCAGACTGACCGACTGACCTGTGCCCTTTGTTTCTCTCTTATTTTTACTTCCTTTTCAATTAACTTCTGCCGCTGGCTAGTTTCTTCCTGCAGTCGTTTTTCCAGGAGTTCTCGGCGTCGTTTTTCTTCTTCCAGAGCTCGTTTCTTGGCTTCCATTTCCCGTTCCTAAATACCATTATTCCGAACAAATTTTAAGACATACTGGTTATACTTGGATGATTCCAACTAATGGAAAAGAAAATTCTCCCTAGACAATTGTTGGCTTTATAGCCTGGGCTCTTACAATATATCACCTAGACTAGAATCACCCCTCACATGGTTTTTTAAATCATCCCACGCAGAAAGGCAACCATGACATTTAGTTAACAACTGAATATTAAGTGAACATCCAGCTGTGGAACTCAGTCATTTCATGCTGGTGACTACAACCCTCGCATTTTTATTTATTTATTTTTTTCAACGTTTATTTATTTTTTGGGGGGACAGAGAGAGACAGAGCATGAACGGGGGAGGGGCAGAGAGAGAGGGAGACACAGAATCGGAAACAGGCTCCAGGCTCCGAGCCATCAGCCCAGAGCCCGACGCGGGGCTCGAACTCACGGACCGCGAGATCGTGACCTGGCTGAAGTCGGACGCTTAACCGACTGCGCCACCCAGGCGCCCCATCCCCTCGCATTTTTAAAACAAAGGATCAAACTGGTCACCCAACACTAGTCATGACCTTGAGCCCTCCTTTCAGTGGCCATCTTCTAACTGAAGGCCATCGGTCCCTCTGGTTTCTTTGTTGCTTTGTGGCTTCCTGGCTGGAGGTAGCAGAGGAAGCCCACGGGGAAGTCGGAAGAGGAAAGGAGGGGCCCTTTAAGGCAGGATGCAAAGGCATTTGGGGGGATTCCTAAGGAAGTTCAGATTCTGGCTTGAAATGCAGTCACAATAACGTGGGATTTTAAATATTACAATAGCACAGTTCACACAAGCTGGCAAGGAAGAGAGAAAACATAAAGACATGACATTCCTCCTTGTTCTTTGGCAGGCAACCACAGTGGCCATCAAAGGGAAAATTCAATACAAAGCATTCATTTCGGTCTACGTTGACACTATACCTATTTTAAATTACAAAATATTGTAGTGCGGTCAGGAGGCCAAGAAATCCTAACACCCTTACTTTTCAGGTAACAAAAATGAGACCAAAAAGGTTGAGTGACGACTCCAAGATTATACTGGTTAATAAGGCCCGAGGACGGTTTCCTGTCAGGTGCAGGACAGCTTGAACCATGAGCTCATTGACCTCTGGTGGAAAGATATTGTACCTACCCTGGATTCAAGCAGCCGAGTCTTCTCCGCATGCGCCTGCTTCAAAAGTCTCTCCATTTCTTCTATTCTGGCAATATTTGAAGTGCTGGCACTGAATAGAACACAGCAGAACACAAAATACCCTTTTAAGAATATTGTTTGGGAGGGATGTCTCTTTAAGTACCCACGCAGATGTGCACACGCACACCCGCTCACAGGTTCCAGGATGGTGAACGATGCAATCCAATGTAATTTAAAGGATGTTACTTAGGAGAGTCATTGGCCTGAAAAGGAAACTCAGTTCAGGTCTGAAAACTGTAGGTGACATTGGCTTATCTCAGTTTAGGAGACAAAATATAGGCAAGGAAAATAATACCAAAGTAGAGTGCTTTAGTCATAAATAAATAAACACAAACTAAATCTTACAAAGTGTGTTCTCAAAATACTTTTTCCAAGGTCTAAAAATTAATGGACTGTGGGAGGCCTTCTTTTTAATTTAAACGTTCAGAGATACCAGACCAATAAGACTACAGAGTTCTATGCAGATGATACCTAAGGTTTGAAGACACTTTATTTGGTTTGGAAATATGTGTTCCCAGCTGCTTTTTTGCTGTGCCTCTATACACGTGGACATTTTAGAGGGCGCCTGGCTGGCTCAGTTAGAAGAGTGTGTGATTCTTGATCTCGGGGTCATGGGTTCAAGCTCCACATCGGGTGTAGAGATTACTAAAAAAATACATACTTATGACATTTTATTTCTTCTTTTTTTAATGTTTATTTTTGAGGGAGGGTGGAGGGGCAGAGAGAGGGGGACAGAGGATCCAAAGCAAGCTCCATGCTGACAACACAGAGCCTGATGTGGAGCTGGAACTCACAAACCGTGAGATCGTGACCTGAGCCAAAGTCAGACGCTTAACGGACTGAGCCACCCAGGTGCCTCAACATTTTATTTCTTACAGGATGATGCCAATTAAAAAAAGACTTCTCTCATAGGTGCAACAGAAGGGTGGTGGGTGGCTAGTTTTGTCAATGATACCCAATACTCATCCACCATATACCGATGAGGAAACGCTATGAAAAGATTCAAGAGCTTCAAAAGAAATGCATCTTTTTTTTTTTTTTAATCGGAGAATTTATAAGAAATGCATCTCGAGAAAGACATCATGCAAACAAGTGAAGGCAAAAACCTTAAGGAGTAAAAGCTGCAAGAACAGTTAGGGTAAGTAACTAAAAGAGAAATAGAAGAACTTGGAAATGTTTAACGCAAACCAAAAAATGTTATTTTTCTCTTACTGACGTTTTATTTGAGTGCTCTGGAAACAGGGGCATGACCTAGGTCAAAACTTATTTACTCTGATATTCCAGCCATAGAGAACCAGTGTTATTTCCTATGCATGTATCCTTGTATAGCCATTGAATATAGGTCTTCTTTTCTAGACTCTCTTGGGGACAGAGACGCTTTTGTGCCTGTATCTTCCATAGCATAGAGACAGGCACATAGTAGGGATTCATGTCAGATGCATTTATATAAAAATGAATTCATATGAAAATAAGGGGCACCTGGGTGGCTCGGTCGGTTGAGCATTTACCTTCAGCTCAGGTCATGATCTCGCGGTTTGTGGGTTCGAGCCCCGCATCGGGCTCTGCTGACAGCTCAGAGCCTTGAACCTGCTTCACATTCTGTGTCTCCCTCTCCTCTCTCCATCCCTCTCAGCTCGCACTCTGTCTCTCTCTCTCTCTTTCTCAAAAATAAATAAATATTAAAAAGTTAAATTCATATGAAAATGAAAAGGATAATTTTTAGTATATCTCCCCAAATTATATTGTTGATCAACTCAAATCTAGGTTGTTTCAAGCATAGGGCTAAATTCCTTTCCACAGATCAATGACCACAGCAACGTCATACATACAGTTTATCTTAAAGTCAGTAATAGCAGCTCTATAGCAGCTTTATTCATAATTGCCAAAATTTGGAAGTGACCAAGATATCCTTCAGTAGGTAAATGAATAACTAAATGGCAGCACTTCCAGAAAATGGAATATTATTCAGCTCTAAAAAGAAATGAGCTATCAAGTCATGAAGAGACATGGAGGAAACTTAAATGCATATTTAAGTGAAAGAAGCCAATCTGAAAAGGCTACACCCTGTATGACTCCAACTATATGACGTTCTGGAAAAGGAGACAGTAAACCATGGAGACATGGAGACAGTAAAAAGATTAATTTAGTGGTGGCCAGCGGTTTGAAGTGGCGGGTGGGAGGGAGGGAAGGATGTATATGCAGAGCACAGAGGATTTTTAGGGCAATGAAAGCCCTCTGTATGACACTGTAATTAATGATGCATATGTGACATTATACATTTGTTCAAATCCACAGAATGCACAACATCAAAGGTAAACCCTGTTGTAAGCTATGGACCCTGGGTGACAATGATGTGTCAACATAGGTTTGTGAAAAAAATTTTTTTTAATGTTTATTTATTTTTGATAGAGAAAGAGACACAGAGTATGAGTGGGGGAGGGGAAGAGAGAGAGGGAGGCACAGAATCCAAAGCAGGCTCCAGGCTCTGAGCTGTCAGCACAGAGTTCGACGTGGGGTTTGAACCCACGAACTGTGAGATCTGACCTGAGCTGAAGTTGGATGCCTCACCAAAACCACCCAGGCGCCCCTCAACATAGGTTCATTAACTGTAATAAATCTACCACTCTGATGGAGAATGTTGATAATGGGGGAGGCTATGTACGTGCAGGGACAGGGATCTCTGTATCTTCTGCTCAGTTTTGCTGTGAACCAAAAACTGCTCTAAAAAATTATCTTTTAGAAAAAAAAAAAAATCAGTACTTCCGGCCCTATTACAAAATGCATTCATCCAGGAAAGGGACAGCCTTAGGAATGCTGTATCCTTAGAAGTTAACTGATCTCTGTACTTCGCAGGGTTACTTTGGGCCCATTTTTAGCCAGGAGTGTTCTCCTGACAAGGACAAAAACATGGCAATTTCTCCTCATTATTTCCATGAACTGTTGGGAGAGGTACAAAAGGGTAAATTCTATTCTCTTCAACCAGCAAGGATTAAAGAAAAAAAATTTTTTTTAAATGTTTATTTATTTTTGAGAGACAGAGAGAGACAGAGCATAGCTGAGGGGGTGGGGGGCGCAGAGAGAGAAGGAGACACAGAATCTGAAGCAGGCTCCAGGCTCTGAGCTGGCAACACAGAGCCTGATGCGGGGCTCGAACTCATGGACTGTGAGATCATGACCTGAGCTGAAGTTGGACGCTTAACCGACTGAGCCACCCAGGCGCCCCAAAAAATCTTTAAATTTTTGTGCAATAATTCGTATTCCTCCTTATTAAGAATAGTCAACCTCACAGACGTTAAAGGGGCACACTTCGTCAGCTCAACTGAGAAAGCCCCGGACAAACTTCAGGCCCTAGAACAGCACAAAATCATGTTTATATTCTATCGTGTTCTCTGTGACATCAGATATATATGTCTTATGTCTCCAGTTTATTTGGAAATAAATAATTTGTTCATTATGTCTCAGGTCTCAAAAACTCATCAATTAAAAAAAACCAAAAAAGCCCTCACCAAGAGTCTAATCTCCATCTACCCTACAGTTCTTTCTACAACATACTCACTTTTGGTCCAACTTGTGCGTGAACATTGTTAGATGCAGAAAACTTACTGTATCCATTTCTTCATCGACCGGACAACATTCTTAGAATGGTGATACTTAAGTTGAATCAAAATCTGTCTTTCTACAGCTTCCAATTACTGGCCTAAGTATGACCTTGAGCTACATGAAACCTATCCACATGAATTGGTTGGAAATAACTCGGTTAGAAACAAATATTTTCAGCCCATGGTTTTTCATGTATCTGTAATTTGGGCATATCCTGGGGGCAAGTTTTAAAACAGTTACCTGTCTTTAAATATTTCTGTTCATTCTTATTTTAGAATTTTTTCAGGCATATATATAAATATATATATATTTATATACATATAATATTTATATGTTATTTATATATGTTATATATATTTATATATGTTATTTATATATAAATATATTATAAATATATAAATATTTATAATTATTTTCTGACAATTATACTTAAATCTCCCTATTTGGCAATATTCCCATAAATGTCTTAACTTCTGCTCCAAAGAAACTCAATTTTCTGAAAACATTTGACAGAAAGTACATGTTAACATTTACCACTTCCTGTCTTCATAACTTTTAGGCACCTACAGTCACCTATTTTTTTTTTTAAGCTCTCCTTTTATACTTTTAAAGCTACTTTGGTTATTTTGTTTAAAAAATAATTTGTATCCATGGGTACCTACTTGTTCTCTATGGTTCCACTTTTACTATTCTTGAGTTTAATATTTCCTTGACGTGTAAACCATTTTTATTTAGCAAAACTTCTCTGCTGTGTCCTACCATGTCATCACCAGTTTTGCTTTTATGTCCCATGGGGATTTCACCTAGAGTGACAAGCAAAGGCCGCTGCAACAGGAACGTAGGGAGAAGTCTAGGCTTGTCGATACCATGGCATCCATGGGATACCCAAATGTCAGCAAATGAAATGCCATCTGGTGTAGCACCTGCCCTATAGGAGGAGAGTCTGAAGTCACTGGAGATAAGCTTTATCCTGCATTACCTATAGCACAACACTCATCTTTGCTTTCTCAAGCCTCTCAAAGTTACAAGAGGAGCAATGTGTCCTGCCATTGCCTCAACTTCGGACCTTCCTTAAAAGGCAGGCATAACTTTCGATGTCAATGCTGTAAGGGTGCTGGTGATATGAGTCATTGGGCCATTAATGGTATACAGATGACTAGTTTTGACTGCCTTTCCCGCTTAGTAATGTTCTATTTTATCAACTGAAGACCTCTTTTTACTGACCCACTTTGGCAAAAACCATATACATAAAGAAAAAAAAAAAAAAAGCTTCCACCAAGGGTAAAAGCATCCAAATAGCAGATTTGGGGTTTTTGGTGCTTTTCAGAATAGTCACTCATAGGCAAAGGCAAAAAAAAAAAAAAAAAAAAAAAAGGAAGAAAGAAAAGCTAAGAACAATGTCATACGAGAAATAAGTAAACAAAACCAGAC